GCAGATACTGATCATCCCGAGAAGGTTCCAGCGCACAAAATCATTCTTTCGCTCGATAGTCCAGCATTCGACACAATGTTCTTCGGCTCACTACCAGAACAAGCTGATGTGCCGATTGTCGACGCGCCTGTTGCAGCGTTCAAGGAATTTTTGCAATTTTTTTACTTGAATGAGGTACGTTTATCGTCTTCAAATATTGTTCACGTGACAAATCTTTGCAAGAAATACGAAATGAACGAGTTTTTAAAACCATGCGAAACTGCATTTCAAAAATCATTAACTATGGACGATATGTGCTGGGGCTATGGCATCGCTGAATTGTTGGAACAAGACAATTTACGCAAATTTTGTGCGGAAAAAATAAAGAGAAATGCAGCGATAGTAGTAAAATCGGAAAGTTTTCTAGAATGTGACAGCAAACTCTTAAGCAAGATGTTGGCTCTCGTATCGTCACATTGGAGCACCTTGGAGATAGTGATCGCTTGCATGGAATGGAGTAAAGCCAAATGCAATCACATTAGTTTGGATCTGAGTCCGAAAAATTTAAGAGACCAACTGAAGGATGTATTTTGTCGAATTCCCTTTGACAAACTAACCACGCAACAGATTTCACAACATGTTGCCAAATACAAAGGATTTTTCACAGGAGAAGAACTTGAAACGCTGTTCATTCAAACATCGTTGCCCGAACAATCAAACCCATTTGATTCACAACTGCTTCAAGATAATCTTACAAATCAACAGGCAGGCCAAGTTTTAGTGTGTGACCGACGAAAGGTTCGGAATGAACATTATAATCCATATGAACGGTCAAGCAGTACAACTATTTTTTCTTCAAATGCAACAATTTTGATTTTTAAATTTAGTATATCTAACATAGGCTCCAATTTTGACTATAAAATTTATGAGAGTGTTGACGCCAACTCGTTGGATAAATTGGTCTTGGAAGGATATTCAGAAAAATGTGATATAGTTTTGCCCAAAAATATTGTTATCGATGTTGGAAAATTTTATCTTATAAATGTACGTTGTCATACTACTCATTCATCTCGAGTATATCAAGATACTTGTTCTTTGGTCAATGAAGTGCAAATGGGGCATGGTATTATAATTAAATTTTCCACCCAAATTCCTTCTCTCTTTGGGCCTATTCAAAATGTTCAAGATAAAATGGAGCAACTTTTCTTCTACAAAAACATTTAAATTTCATCTCTTTTCTTAAATTCGATTCATTTTTCTGTGAAATTCTTTAGAAAATGAGAATAGGATAACTTTTAAAAATATATATAACTACATATCTATTGACTAGATCGAGAGGAGAGTAAGTTCATCTGACTTTGTTACGAAAGAGGAGAGTAAGTTTCTTTCGACTCAAAAATGGTTAAAGGCGAGTATGTTCATTTTTGGCGGTTTTCCGCGGTTTCCGCGGAACTGATAAGAGATAACAACTTGGTGTCTTCGGCAAAGTTGTAGCACTTAAGGTCTTCTATAACATTGCTGAAGTCAATTATCTCTTATCTCTTATCAGTTCCGCGAAAAGCGCGAAAAATGATAAGAAAAAAAAAGTTCTATATAAAATTTGCTTTTTTATGTGCGCGATTTGCGCGCAACTGATAAGAGATAAGAGATAGATGTCTTCAGCAATGTTATAGAAGACCTTGAGTACTACAACTTTGCCCAAGACACTATGTTGTTATCTTTTATCAGTTCCGCGGAAACCGTGAAAAACCGCGGAGGCTAGACGGGATGCCAACATACTTCCTTTTAACGCAGATAGAATCAACAGAAATCATACTCTCCTCTTTCAAAATATATTCGAATTTTTTCACATACTCTCCTCTCGATCTAGTCAATAGATATTGCAATATGTTGAAACCAAATATTTTTTTTATACTTTTACTTTTTGATAAACGATAGTTAAAAGCAAACTGCTAAAAATGAGTCTGTTCATTTATTTGCGATTTAAAAAGCGAAATATTCAAATTCATTTGTATTTCAACATATTCATATTTAGGTGTTATTGGTCCTTTAAACTGGTCAGAATATTGATATGAATTCAGAGATATGTTTTTTAAGTATAATATACCAAATAAACGTACTGTATATGAGTCTCACCTGTAATGATGATACATAAAAAATATAGAAAATTGAAGAACAAAATCAATGTTCTAATACATTCACTTTATTCAAGTTTAAACCGTAAGATATCGATAGTAAAACTAAGCTGTTACCAGTAAAAATACTCAATGTTGTTATTCAGTTTCAAAAATGGGTTGACAATTTGTGTCCAATTTTCTTTTTTTTTTATGGGCTTTTGCCCGAATATACTGTAAATTCATCTCATTTACTTTCAAAAGCAACAACAAAGTAATTCATCCTGGTTGGTTCTGAAAAATGTGTTTGAACAGATTTGAATTTAAGCTGCTGCAGAATCAGCTGTGACAACACTCAAATTGCATATGGTAACAGCTTTGAAGCTGTCAAATCTCTTACCGTATATCCAAATGTTATGATTGCAAGTTGTTTATTTTTAACGACATCAGTAACAACAAAGAC